GGCTTTTTTCGAGCCCGCGTCAATGTGCGTGATGTCCTCGGCCACTTGGGCGGCGTCGAGCGGGAGGGCGGACTTTAGGGTCTCGAAACCTGAAGTAGGCGGTGTTTCGGCTTCAAACTGTTTTTCATCAGAGACAGAGTAGAGTGCTGGTTCCGAATATGAGGAATGAAAAACTTTGTTCACCATAATTGTTCACATCGCGCGTCGTGCTCGTGAGGACACCAGCAAAAAATAAAGGCAAGATACTTCCCAGCTGCTGGCCCGCCTCCATTTGCATTTGTGAATAGGACTTCCCGGTCTTCAGTGCCTCCTCGTTCTCCAGCTCTGTCATGATGTTCAGCGTCGAGGTGAAATCCTATCCAGTGCAAATATGTCTGGGTCTGCAAACCTGTGATGCATGTCAGTGAATAGAAGCCACGCTGTAATGCACCGCCAAGCATGACAGATTTTTTCGTGGCTCCGTGTTGCGTATTCCGCATTACAATCAGCGTTCTTGCATGACAGACAAGAGGAGCTCTTGCTGGCCACGCAATACACGGCTCAGTGTCATGCCAGACAAGCATGACAAATCTCGCATTCTTCCAGACCCAGACATATTTGCAATGCATAAATCCGGCTTCTCTACCAAACTGGACGGGTCCGCGCCGGTCATCTTGGTTTTGTGCCCAAAGTCATCCAGTTTTCGGGTGAAGTTGTCTCCGCGGGCGGCCTCGGGGTCGTGGGGAAACAGCTCGATACCTGTGCGAATTGGAATTTCAATTTTTTCTTGGGCGATTGTGATACTATTTAGCTTTTGTTTTTGTACCAGAACATTATCACTTTCACCCCAAGTGAAACCTCTAGCTCATCGGTTGTACTACCTACCGCATCTCCAACTTTCAAAAGGAGATCGTTATGTACTCGAAAACCCGGTGGGCAGATTGATGTTTTGCTTCATCATTTCCGGGTCCATGGCGCTCAGGCTTCCGACGTTCGGGCTCAGCATGCCCGTCGGTCCGTCGTCGTCTGCCGTCCCGATGACTTGCTCGTGCCGCTGATCCGGGATTTCCTCGCGAAAAGCGTCCACCTCGTCCCACTCGTCCTGAATAATGTCCATCAAATCGTGGAGGTAGCCACGGACAAAGTGGTACCGCGCGATCGCCTTCTGGTCTATCCAAAGAAAAAAGTGTTGCAGTTCTTACACATTTGTTTGGCATCAATCAGTATCAGCAACATAAATTGGCTCTGCATGACATAGGAAACATGCTGCAATGCAGAGATCATAAGGGAAAACACATATGAAAAAAGGCTCGTGTGCATATCTGGCATGACAGACCATGTCTGTCTTGCCTGGTCTGCAACACAATGTGTAAGTGTAACACTTCATCTTCTCGCGATATGGTCCCGAGACTCCTCAATGCCCTCGGACTTGGACAATCGGACCTCGCCGATCAGCCGCTTGATGGCGTCAATGTAGATCTGCAAAAGAGTTTTGATCTTTCGCGTGTAATGTCCGTCGTGTTTATTTCTGGCATCACAGAATAAACTTGGGATTCATGATGCATGATCTCTTGGGGTTGGGATTCATGACGCATGACAAATTCGAATTCTTCATGATCTACCAAATATAGCCGCCGGGGCGGGGGTAGTGAGGTCGTGGGCGTTTTTTTGCCGACCGCCGCCTTGGCCGCGCCTTTGTTTTTTCTGGGCTCGCCATACCGCCGTGAGTAACGTTATGCCGCACGGTATGGCGGCCACTTGGGAAACATCACAAATTTTGGCACATTTCCCAAATTCCTTTCCGAAAGCCAGCCCCGATGCTATGGGGCCGATCCGGGTGCCACGGGGGGCGCCCAAAAAGCGAAGAAAAACCGGGCCCATAGCATGCGGATTGGCTTTGCGCGTCTGGGGCGTTTTTTATTTTTCGCGTTTTTATTTTTCACGCCGGCGCTTTTTGCAAAGCTTCCCAGGCTCTAAAACCGGCGAAAAGGCGGCCGCTTTCGCGGCCGCCCAAGATGCTCCGAAATCGCGGCCGTGCCATGCTGTTTCGCTGTTCTGATTTTGGGCGCGTTTTTTGCGCGCCCCTTTTTGGGCGCCCCAAATCGCCAGAAACCAAGGCGGCGGGCGCCTCGGAACGGCGCCCCTTTTGCCGGCTTCCCTGCGTCGTTTTATCCAGTGCGAATCGATAGTTTTCGACCGGGCTTGTTTGACTTCAAAGCCCCGGAGGCTTGATAATTGAAAATCTTTTATGTCAAAAAACGCTTCCGGCCGCTTGAAAACTGCCGGTCGTTTTTCACGGTAGGTGGCAAAAAAACTCCCCGGTTAGAACCGTTCGGTGACCTCACTACATACTACATCCAACAAATGAATCACGTTGCCATCCTCGAGAGGGCTACAGGAGAACGTGAGCGTCGTTTTGGAGGTAGTGAAAACAGTGATACTTCTTTTATACCTTGTTTTTCGTCCTGGGACTGCACAGTCGCCCGGTATAGTCCTGTACCTGCGACTTCTCGAAGCCAAACAAGTTTCCCCAGTACAGAATGTTCTCCTTCGCTTCCCCGAGCCGCAGCTGCATCTGCTGGTCGAAGTGCTGCAAAACCGACTTCACCTGCGGCGCAGCGGCCTTGCCCTTTTCCAACCGCTCCAGCTCGTCGATCTGATAAAACGCAAGTACACATATACTTTTCACGCGTTCCCCTACGTTTTCCTACTTTTTCGATGAAAAAAAATCATTCCTGCAGACGTCCGCATGAAAAGCCGTACGCTTAAGATGAAACAAGAAAGAGAAACTCAGTATAACAATACGATCGACTGGCTCTCCTCGGTAAACTTCTTCTCGTATCGTCGGTAGAGGTTTGCGACTTCCGCTTCAAAATTCACCACCTGGGGGTGGTTCGCCCCCAACTCCGACACGTACTGCCGCAAAGCGTATTCAAACGGCCCCAGCACCCCGTGCAGCGGGAAGTCCCATCGGGACACCAACTCCGACTCGAGAAACTGCTTCCGTTGCTTGATCGCTCTCTGCGTTTTGTTGGCGAAGTCGGCGAGGTCGTTGACCGATCCGCTGAGCAGAAAATCCGCCTCCTTTTTGATCTATGGATTGCAAACATGTCTGGGTCTGGAAACTTGTATATGTTAAAAGTGAATGGCAGGCGCACTGCAATACGCAGCTATGCATGACAAATTTTTTGGCTCCCATGTCTTACGTATTCCACATCGCAAACTGCGTTTTTGCATGACCGGTAAGAGGGCCTTTTGGTGCCTATGCAACACAGATTCTTGAGTTATGCCAGACAAGCATGACAAACTTGCATTCTTCCAGACCCAGACATTTTTGGACTTGATATGATCTCCCGGATTGAGTAGCTATTCGGGGCAAGCCGGAGCTTCTCGCTGTATTCCGTTTGCAATTCCGCCAAACGATTCGCCAAGATTCGCTCGTACTTGCCGCAGCACTCTTCCAGGTCATACACCGGAATGTCGAATCGTTTCACGACGGTGTCTATGCAATGCACAAGCATCGCACTCGTACTAATTGCAATCCTGCATTACAAATCTAGGTGTTGAGGTAAATCCGCATTACAAATTTCATCTCTAATGCTGAGGAAATTTGTATTGCAATTTATACTAGAACTAGTACGATGCTTTTGCAATGCATAGTGTCAATCGCCCGCCGCATGTACAGGGTCACCGACTCGGTCGCCGCGTTGCGGTGCATTTCCATCGTTCTGAGGAGAAATTTATGCTCCAGCGTTTCAATTGCGTCAACCTTGATGAAATGCGACTTCTCCTCCAGCAGGCGGACAGCGGGGTTGTCGAAGTTCAGGCAACGCGAATACCGCATGAGAGCATCGCCAATCATCGCCATAGAGAGATCTAAAAGATTCAAGTCGGTTTTCTCGAACTCAATCTTCTCAACGCATAACAAACAAAGCCATCATATTATGCCATGCTATGTAATGACGGAAGACTACGCAGCACCGGCACCAACATTGACATTCAACTTCGGAATAAAAAAGACAAACACATCAACTATGAATGTAGAATACTCTCCTTCTCCGTGAAGATCGCGGCTACGCCCAGAGCTTCCTTCTTCAGGTTCACGTACCCGGGTTTGAGCATCCGCCGTACCAAATACAGGCCCAACACCATTTGCGGCGGCAGCGGGGCCAGATCCGGGAACTCTGCGTAGGCATTGGAGCCGAAGGTGCGGAGAAATTTCTTCACCCGTACTTGCGCCTGAAACAGCACGATGGCCTGCACCAAGCGTGGCGGCTGCACGTCGGCGCTCATCAGGTCTGGCCGTTTGCTGTTCGGTAGCTGCTTGTCCGCCTCGCGACGGTCCGCCTGCGCGCCGGCCACGCCGACGGCCACCGTCTCGCGGACCTCCTCGATGGACTTGTTGTCGGTCATATTGTCGTAGTACAAGAACGTTGGGTCGTCTTTGTGCGAAGGCAGTATAATCTTGACACTGGACGACCGGGGTATAATCGGGGTCGGCGTGTCGGGTCGTGTTCTTTACATGTTTGATACAAAGACAGCACAAGAGCTTCTGTACTGTTGTTCACTACTAGTACAAGTGCCCGTCGGCCAGCTAGTACAATCGGCTTTTGGGCCGTGCAGCTGTCAAGATGGTGAAAGAACTGAAACGGTCATACTTACGTTGGTTTCTCCGTACCAGCACCGTCCAAATCTTAATTGGTGGCGACAACCAGATTCGATGATCGAGAGGACAAACAAAGTGGACAGTGTGGCATCAATGAGATCGTTTTAGTAATCGAACCAACTTCAAGTTCATCATCATCAAGGTGCACTAGTCTCACATCTTCGATTTCTCTCCTCCGTCGTTTCTTACTCTATGGGCTTCACGACGTCTCCCCTTCTCTCAAAACCCGTCTCTTGCTCTTCAACGCGACACGCAACGATGCTTATTTTAGTTCGTAAAAGGGAAGTGAGAGCTAGAAAACGATATTATCGACATCGACGACGATGGTACTTCTTTGCAGGAGAAGGAATTCGTTGCTTGTCCTTCTTGCCCCAAATAAAGGTTCAAGAAAACCTGTTTCGCCGAAGAGAAGGAGACGATGACGAACGTCAAGCCCCATGCCTCGTCAAGAAAAATTTCATGTCAACAGGCGGAAAACATTAGTGCGACTCTAGTGGTTGTTTACCTGACACAACGAACTACACTGAGAATTAGAGTATGTACAGAGGACACGCAGCAATGTACTACTTAACCATGCTGGCCTCTATGTCCTCATGTGTTGATCAGTGAAGAAGATATAGTGTCGTTCTACTACCGCTGCTCGTCCGTTTCTACCCCTGACAGTCGGCAAATGGCCTCCCATACGGGGTCCTCGTACTCCTCGGCCTTTTCGCAGCAATGTGTCGCGAAGGCGTAGTCCCAAAGGAGCTCCTCTTCGGGTTCGATATCCCTTGTCGCGACAAACCGCACCACGGTAAAGTGGAACCCCTTCACGTGGTCCACCACTGCGACCATGTTCTCCGCTGCTGGCGCTGGGTTTGTTTCCGAAGTTTCCGGTTCGTTTGTTGATGCACCATCTTGAACTATCCCTCGGCAGCTGTTCGAGTAGGCGGACAGCCAGGCGGCGAACGGGCGTGGCCCGCCGGTGCCCCCGTCGAGATTGTGATAGCGGTCCATTTCCAGCATGTAGCGGTAGCCCCGGTCGGTACGAACGGAGTCTTCAAATTTTACCTTCTGGAACTGGGAGTGCTCCCGCGCGGTACGGATTTTGTCCGCAAACGTAGCGGAGATGGAAAAATGCTCCATTGTTTCTTGCTTCATATTGCTAGTAGAAGACGAAGTAGATGAACAACAAGAAGATGACAGCACTGCTGGTGGTGCTGCTGCGTGATCTGGTGCTATTGTCGTGCAGGATGAACTTTTGGCCACCGAATTAATATGCTCCATATCTTCTGTCCCTGTTGACGCAGTAATTCTTGTAGGAGCAGGAGGCAATTCCTTGCAGACCAGCCTGCCCATGTAGTGTGTAACCGTGTCGCCCTTGGAAAACCGCCGCAACGCGAACAACCCGCACCCGTAGCCGCACACGGTTTTCTGACGGCGCACTTGGAGGCCGCGAAGCTTTCCCTCGCGCACGATGTTGCGCGCACAAATGGCGAACCGATTCGGGTCATCGGCGTCCCACAACTCCGGGGAAAAGTCGTCTGTTATAGTACTTTCCGAGATTTTTGCAGGGCCGATAGACATGAGTAGTTTTTTAGTTTTTCTGTTGTCATAAATCGTGAATAATTGTAACTAGAAATTTATTAAAGTGTAAGTAGCTCTAGAAATTTTTACTGCATGCCATTGATATTCGACAGATGAAATAAGAACCAAGCTGCATATTAATCCATTTTGAAGAGCCAGACGAGGAGCCTGAACCTCAATGTAGAAAGAATTAAGATTAACTGAAATTCAATATAAAAGCATAAAGTAGAGAAGTAGTAAGTACGCTCCACCCCCCTATACACTCCCCACGGCAACACTGCGTGCATCCGCGCGCTGCCATCTTGATCGCTGGTAAAGGCCGGTGCGCTGGGATCCATTTCCTCCTGCCGCGTCGGCGCGACGCTAAGCTTCACTTTTCCGGTGGTTGGATCGGTTTGGAATGCGACGGCCGCCACCTCTTCTTCGTTGTCTAAGTCCGCGGTGATACTGGTTTCAATCTGGTCCTCCGTGCCAAACGCTTTCTTCGCCTGCTCCATCATTTGTTGGTACCTGGATTCGAACTTCTCGAACAACGAATCGAGAGAAGTGGTGCGGGGACTACTGCTGGTACTGCTTTTTGTGCTGCGAGGACTCAATGATGATGCGCAAGGTGGTGGAGGTAGCGTTGTCGTGCTGCTTGCCATTCCTTCACCTTCATGGTCACAACTGCCACGTGCTTCCTGCAGTTCTTGATCTTCAGTAGAGACAGGCTTGCTTTGCTGCTCGACATCTTCATCACGTAATACAGTTTCAATCTCCACTTCCACCTCGTCCCTCGGGCTGGTACTTTTCGTGGTGCTGGTAGCCGACGCAGTGGAAAATAAAGAGGAGTTATCCCCCGTTGTAGAAGTACAAGTGGATGAAACTTGCAACAACTCTTGTTCTCGACTACAAAGATGGTCGTGCACCAAAACAACAGGCACATTTTCTTGATGCTCTCCAACAAGTGCAGCTGCGGACGGCGGAGTACTAAAATCGGCTTTTGCTGGTCGTTCCGCGTCAACAACATCCGCAGTGAACAGCTTGATCATGTCGTGTGAAGAAACTATATCCTCGTCCTGCAGCTTTTGATTCTGCTGCAGCGGCCCTGAGCAGGACGTCGGCAATTTGTCTTCTTCTACCGAGACCGCTGAAACCGTCATCGCAATCGTGTCGGAATAAAATGTCTCGCGGGAGGGCAGTCGCCGCGGCGCCGTAGCAAACAAGAAGGGCACGACTCCACCGAGTTAGTAGGATGGAAGCACCCCTGGCACGGGCACACAACGATGATCTTTGAACAAGTACTAAGCCTAGTAAATAATCCGATCGCGTTTGCGATGTTGACTTTCTCAATTTTCGTTGATATGCAACTACTGCTAGGGATCTTTTCGTCTTGAGATGAAAGTGTGTCATGGTTGTGCAAAACGATTGCGGCAGAAAATTGAAATATTCAACAATGCGATACAACGAATAACGACTGTAGTAACCAACGAATCGATGGGTATTGGTATTGCTACGCCGACTGTACTACAAACGAAAAACACAAAATAAAGGCGACTAACGACCAAAAATTTTCCTTGATAGAACGTCGACGAATATCAAGAAAGAGAAAGACATAAAGACTTGAGAGCTCTGAATAGGCTTATGTGTGGATCGCTAGTGACGAAAACCATATTCATACGACGCGCCGATCACGACTTGAGGTGGTGCACCACAACTCTCGTTCGCGTGACAACCACAACCTTCTCATTCTCTCGATAAACTACTGAAGAAAACAATCAAAAGAGAGATACGGAATCTGGCCTTTCGTTGCGCAACTGCGTCTCCCAAGCAGGTCGCTTTCTACGACCGCTACTGCATTAAGAGATGATGAGTAAATCGTTCATGTTTGTCGTGTATCAGCGATCTTGCAACAACGCAGCGAAATTCAACAAGTTCTCTTGTTCATTCTGCAATGGTAAAAATGCTCTCAAATTCTACACGTGATAATTGTGCACACACAACTCATTTCCTATTGTTCGGTTCATTGATTTGCGTTTCTTTGCACTTTTTCTCATGCTGAAAAAACATCTTCTCTGGGCAAGGAACGCTTCATTGATTCATAGGCGCGCCGCATATCAAGCATAATTCAAAGCGATCGATTAGAGTCAGTTGTTACGAGAATACCAGCTGTAAAATTCAAATTCATACACACCAGCAAGCATGCCTAAGAATAAACGCGTTTCGAGACTACATTCACTTCGTCCGTGATTCCGATAAATGTACTGGCTACACGAAAAAAATGTAACATGGTTTTCAAAAAAGAAAACCGCAGCACTTTGTCGTCGACGCACCGACCAGCCGGCGCAATTTCTTTGACTTTTTATCGCCACTTCTTCCGGTGATTGGCGATCCGCTCGAAGATGTGGCTATTCTGCAACTTGCTCTCTGCCGCCGCGAGCGCGGATTCCAACCTACTTAGAACGGACGCTGGCTGAACCAACGCCGTGCCGTCGTTCTCTGCACCCATGTTGGGGTCGGCTGTTGCTGATATAGCGGAAGTTGTAGCTGGGATATGGATATCAGCGTCCAGGCTGATTTCGGACTCTGCACCGGAAGGTCGCGCTTCGGGTTTATTTCCCACGGAGTGGAGTCTTGTACCTTAGTAAAGTAAGTATCTATGTGATGAAAGTGTCCATTTGCAGGTAGTTCTCATGCGTACGCGTAGCTTCAAAATGAGCATGCAGATGCCAATGCATGGTTACGGGAGCAAGTAGATTACAATCTTGTTCAGGATCGGTGTCCTCCACGACAGCTGGTCGATTCTGTAGAAACAGTAAAATTAGACGCACTACATCAACACCAAGGATAGTACAAAAAAGATCATACTTCTCTCTTCTACTTCCGCCGAACACGATGAAGATCTGGCGTTTTTGTGGGGACTTGGCGTGCGGCTGCGGAGGTTTCGCGAATTAATATTCCGTGTTGAGGATCCAGCCGAGGGGGCGGAGGCGAGCGACTTTGGAAGCAGATGATGAGCCCCGGCCGCTGTCGTGGGGGACGGGTGGCTTGGCAGTCTTCTGGTTTTTACCGAAACGCCAAAAGCCGGACGGAGATTGTCGATCTGATAAGAAAAAGGGGTCTTTAAACTTTGAAAAAAGACTTTTCTCCTTTGATTTCACGTGATATCACGTGATATCACAGGACCAAAGGAGAAAAGTCGACTGCGCTGCTGATATCACAACATGTGTGATATTTAGAAAAAAGCAAAAACAGAAGGAATTGATGCTAAAACAGAAGGAATTGACGCTAAAACAGAAGGAATTGATGCTAAAACAGAAGGAATTGATGCTAAAGCAGAAGGATTTGATGC